CACATCATGATAACAGCAAGGCCCAACTACATTTTCTAGCAAGAACACAGAGAAATGGAATTCTACAATTTGGCAAGAACCATTCTTTCTTCCTTGTATTTGTAGAATCTGGGATTTCAGATCCACAGGGAAAAAACAAAATATTCAGAAAACAACGGAATAATGGAACGTGTGGTTTCTCCAAGTACAAATTAAAAAAACCAAGCCCAGGTAATGCCCATCATTTAATTTTTAGAACCATGTACTCTGAAATGGAAAGTCACTAAAAGAAACATCAGGGCCTTATGCTTAAGCAAACTTATGTCAAATATGTAAAACCTTGATATTTTGTTAGGTCAGGGTCAAGTTTTCTTTCTAAAGAGTTGAAAAAACTATCGCAAATATTTACTTTTTCATACATCTAAAGCAATCTGAAATTTTGTCTTTTTAAATATATTTTCCTTATCCATTATTATTGATCATGTCTGTATGTGCCCAAATGCCCTGAAGGTACCAGTTGAAGTACAAAAGAAAAGAGCAAAAGATCAAAAAGCACAGTAGTTCAGGCTATAGGTATATTTTGTCATTTTTTTCTTTTAATTTACAAAGGAAAGATTAGTATGTTTTGTGAAGTACACGCTTATGACCAGATTTGACAAAGCAAAGAAAAACCCCAGTACTTCAATATTGCAACTGCAATTCTGTGTTTGAAGTTATAGCCAGTTAGGTATCTAAATATGTGCATCTCCTGAATACGTAATAAATTGCAAATATTTACAAAACTATATTTACAGATGGTAGGCTTTGGACCCCTTTACAGATTCTGGCCTTGAGCCATAAAATTTAAAAGTAGACCACATATTTCGCCAAAATATCTCACAGTTTCATTCTAACATGCTATAGAAAACAGTGACCTGAAAGTGGTCAGACAGTGGAACAGACAACTTAATGAAGACAGACACACACTGAACAGTAAGAGAAAATGTACACTTACACTTGAAAGACCAATTACACAACAACCTCATACATTAAATTCCAAGAGATAAAGTGAAAGAATGAGAGTGTTTTGTATCAAAGTAGAATGGGTCATTACCTTAAAGTATTTCTATATGGCTTTTTCTCCATAATACCACTTATGTGCTAGAAATGAAGGAAACAGCAAATGGTCCACAAAACCTGCTCTAACATTTTTTCTAAACCTGCATATATGACTTACTTTTTTTGTAACAGGAGTAAAATGCCAAGAGTATTTTTGTGAAAAACAATTACATGGCAATAATTTGGCCATTTGTTCATGTCTATGGAGTAGAAAACTGGACTGAGTATTTGCTCAGGTCTAATTCAATCCCCGTTCACAGTAAGTGCAGTCTTTCAGAAGGCTTGTTAGGAACACAATGGGATCCATATACACCTTTCGGCTGTAAAAGCTTGTTAATACACATTTGGAGAAAGAGGCATTTGAAGGGCTACTACACTGCATTCCTCTGCACTCGACAATATGTATCAGTTTTCTGTTTCAAGGAAAAAGCAAGCCAAATCCTCACATCAAAATGCCCCTTGTAACCCAGGTGCAAACACATTTTACCTGCATGCATATTAAATTAATTCATTACAATTTGTATTTGTTACTTTACTGCAGTATGGATGGCAGAACCTCCACAGTACAGATTGGAGTGGACCAGTTTATGAAGAAATCACAGTTTGAAAATCTCTGATGACCACTGCAATGGAAAAAACTGAATGGTGAAACAAATGGGGGAGCAAATATAGTTCATAATATCAATGAATATGTGGGTGAACTACAGCATACATGGTTTTTAAACCCAAGGTCATCAACTTAATCATGTGCCTGGGTGAGAGCAGCAAGTACCAACAGTATATAACTGAATGTCTCAATATTGTGATCTCCTCAGAGGTGAAGAACAACCAGTCAGTTGAACTGCTGGTTTCCCAAGTACTAAAGCCATAGGAAGAGCAGCACAGAAAGGGGACTGTGAATTTAGCCAAGAGCCCATTAAAGTAGATTAATGAGCCACATAACTGTTTCAGTTTCCACTTCCTCGTTTAGCGGGAGAATTATTGGCTTTAAGGATGGGCAGACAGGTATTTTCCACATTTGCATTATGTTTGAAATCTATTTTGAGAAATATTACTATATTCACACTTTGAAAATGTAAGGGCATATTTTACTATTCCTTTCCCTGTAAGATTTATGTATATTTGGAATTGTTATCAATAACAACCCCCAAAAATACAAAACTGGGTAAGTTTCACGTACGGTAGTAAGGCCGTGCTTGTCACGAAGATGTTCATTTTTCACAGTCTGGTTCAAGATGGCTTCAACTCCACAACGACAAGAAAGTGCTTGTATGTTACACTTTAATTACTGTATATTGTATAGTTAAGATTAGTGAGAAAATGTACTCTAAGTAACTAAAAGACAACTCTGCACGGTAAGCATATGTGAAGTTAAAAATTTGGACGAGTTTGAGAGTTAACGTGTCATTATGACTGGGATATGTTCAGTTGGTCTCCATTGGCACAACATTACTTCAGTTTCTAAGCCAGTGTCTAGTCTGATAAAACAGTCAAAAACACTGAGGACATGAACTTTCATTTCTGCACAATGGAAGCGCAAAAGACACTGATCTACTACTTCTCTTACCTCCCTCCCAAAGCTACTGGATACAGTGGATGATCAGACATAATATTAGACAATGAGACAGATGTGTACTACAGGATGGTAGCAACAACTTTCACCATCTGCTTTTCTAATTTCACAAAATGTTAAAATATACTCATACATGTACATCAGTATTATATAAGGAGTGCACAACACAAAGCACTGACAGGAGACCTGTTTACCGCTTACGGGAGCAGGAGTAAAATCCCAGGCCTAGAGAAGACGTCACTTATGTCTCAAATACCAACACTGGATTATAAAGAATCATACAATTAATAGATTCTGAACCGATTCAAGCTTTATGTCACTATCTCAGTTTCACTAGAAAAGCAACATTGTTAAAACAAGACAACCAAAATCAAGACAAAGATCTGCTGAAAGTGGAAGCGTAGATGTCAAGCTCCGACTCTGAGTAAGCAAGTGCTCGCTGTTGCAATCACTGAAACCAGGCACGCAGTTAAGAGACAGGCCGGTGCACGATGAGGGCACAAGTCTATAGCTACACACCCAAAGAACTAGTACCTTTTCCCCAAGTACAAAGAACCTAGAAGCACTCACTGAACTCCTGCCCCGTCACAGAAGACACTCTTTACAACAGAGTTGTTATATGTATGCACCGGAAGCTGCTAGGCACTAAACCTCTTTAAAAAATGGATTTATCCATAATGTGAAATTAATTTTACCATCTTAAAATACATATCTAATTATACATTCCATCCTTTTTATACATGTATGCATATATTTAAGCCATGGAAACCAGGAATAGAACTGCACTTAGAAGTTTTTAAGTAAAATTTTACAAGTATCTATGGAATAGGGATATTTATAGTATAGCACTAAATCATAACCATATGGCCAGATCAGTATCATACAAGTTCTTACACAAGTTATCATCTGAAAGTCTATAGGTAATTTTTTTTATATACTAAGCAGTAAGAAATGAACATATTTATTTCACAGCCACGAAACTGAGGTCCTTTGGCTAGCTAGCTTGAGACTGAATTACAAATTTAGTCAACAGCATCTAGGCCAATATTGCAACATCAATATAGGTTTATATTTGAGGTTTTATATTTTTCAATCAATTTTCATTTGTATATTTCATGTCGATCAGGAGTAAACCAAAAAATGTTCTCTAATTCCAGTTTTACAATAGATTAACAGAACACAGAACTGGAAGGGAAATGGAGGTCATCAGTCCAGCACTCTAACCATAGGCAGAGTTCAAACACACCAAACACCTCCTGGCTAATGCTTCTCTTGACCTATTCCATAAAACCTCACAGCATGGAAAGTCTAGAGTCTTCCTAGATGATCTTCCTAGCTACATTGTCTTTGTTACAGTTGATAAACAAACAAACAAACAAACAAACATTACCTGCATTTTCACAGGTGATGAAACAGAGACAAGATAGTGATGTGACTTGCTTGACATCACACGTTAAGAATGGCAAATACAGGAATCTAACAGCTCAGACTATCTTACTGTATCACACTGCAACCCACGGTCTTCATCCTGAAACATTCTAAAGCCCCTGGCATATTAAGGGTTGCTCACACCCACTACTAATTCACAGCTAACTTTTGGGGTGTAACATAGCAAATATTTAAAAGCAGTTCAATGCCACTTTGTGCAATGGAAGAAAAAGATTATTCTATGGAATCTGAAGAAAAACAAAATATAAGTATTAAAGCGTAACTACTCCAGTACGGAATTTAATTGGAACAGTGGAGATGACCAACAATCTTTAAGGTTACAGTACTCTTGTTAATCTAAAGGATTTAAAAATAACAGTAATTTGAAAGATAGTTCTCTAAGTGCTCATAACACAATGTATGTTGAGATAATTGGCACCAACTCAGAAAATACCATCATCTTGTTGAAGTGCCACCTCAGTTGCTTCAATATCTGCAACATTCTTGGATTTTCACAAAAAGGAAGAGGCTCAGTTCTGTTTAGCTTGTGACACACATCCAGCCTACACCCAGAAGTGGGACAAAGGGTAGCTTCACTGCTTTAACATATGTAGTGTGTAGTCTAGGCAACATAAAAGAAAATGAACTAACATATGTAGTGTGTAGTCTAGGCAACATAAAAGAAAATGAACTATAAATAAAGAGGTACATAAGTTCTTAAGCTAAGGGTGTAGGGAGGACAAGAGATGGGACTTGTCTTCAAGATGCTACTCACTCTCTCCCCTATTTCAAGAGATTAATAAAGATATTACAAGAAAGGGAAGCGAGGGAAAGGGAGAAGTTTGTAAGACAAAGGAAGGAAATTAAGTACCTGTAATTTGTCAGAGACAAAGCAGAAAGTTTGTGTGCACATGCGAACAGGTTATGCTGTTAGCACATTCCAGTGATAAGTTATATACATCAAGACTATAAAAAGTATGTGGAAAAGACAAAAGCCTATTAGATCCCAGGAGCGAAAGGTAGAAGTTGATTGTGGGGTTTTCTCCCCGAGGGCGAGCAGAGTGTCAACAGTCTTTCGAATGTGACGAATATCCGACTGCAGGATGTCATACGGAGAGCAGAGGTCAGCCTATCCCGAAGGGCAGCCATTAGAACAGAAAAAAACAGTGCATAAAATTAAAAATACAAAAATGGAAAGATATTGATAAATAAATTATCACAATATTCTAGCATAAACATGTAGGAATAGCTTCTTCCTAGTATCGCCTTAGTCACTAGACACCCCACCTTTCTTTTATTTCCTCTAAATACTGAAGCTATCGTATAATATCAGAATATTAAGACAGAAGAGCTCAGGCCTTCATATCCTTGCAAATTATGCCCAGATTCACAAGGGTGAGGAGGTGCACGTGATCCACTTATTCCAATGTATCTGCACACCTTTGTCCATCTGGGCCTTATTCAAATTCTTAAATGGAACCAGTTGTAAAATCTAACTTATACAATAGCAAACAGTGGGTTAGAAAGCCGTTAAAAGCACAAGCAGCAGCCATATGAAGTCTAAAGAAAAAGTACCTAAAGAAATTAAGTATGCAAAATTCTCTAAAATAATAAACTAAAACTTGGTATTCAAGTATCATCTTAAATGACACCCTGAGACTGAAACTGAAGAAGTCAACATAGCACTAACTATACCTAATTTTAATAAAATTTCTAAACTTAAGAATTTGACAATAAATTCCTTCGGTAGCATTTTAAAAGTTATCAGCAGGTTAGATTCCCATACCTTTTCTGGAAAGTATCATTGACTTCATGCAGCAATTTACTCTAGACTAGCTATACAAAATGAAGTGTCATAGGTAATGATATCAATATGCATACACAATATTTAACATTAAAATCAAACCAAGCAAAAACTAGTACTTTCAAAACACAAACTAAGATATACCCATTTACATTGCAAATGAGGCCTTACTATCAACAAAAATGGTAAATATTTATGGAATAAAATTATACAAAGTAGGAAAGAGATCCCCTGTTTCAAAGGAACACTGTGTTTATTTAGCAGCTTTTCCATTTCACTTGCTTAATGAACTGACAGTGAACCCAATAAATGTAGACATGGAAGTTCAGATGTCTCTTTTCTGTTAGTGCAAAGTTTCAAGTTCTAGTTGGAAATAAATTAAACTTTAAAAATATTTAAAAGGCCCTTCTATCCTGAAAAGTGACTAGTATAACTGGAATTCAGAACTGTCATTCATACACAAAGGAAAAAGTGACGCTTTTTAAAATTTTTTTTTTCTTTTTTGCTTGCCTTGCCTGGTTCCAGCTTTAACAGGAGTTAAAAGCTGCAGCATTTTAATTTTGTTACTTAGGCCAGCAGATACATAGAGGGGGAAAAACACCCTGACTAGCAACAACAATGCCATTTTTATAGTCACTTTTCAGGATTTTTTCAGCTCAAAATTTTAGTGCGATAATAAATGTCAATGCAATCGTATTTGGCTTTTTCTAAAGGATGAACACTCACAGATGAAAACATGCTTATCTTGTTTAAAAATGGGATAGGACTAGTACTGCATTCAACAACATCTACATCCACACACTGCTTACCAGAGAAACTAATTTTACGGCAAACCAACAGCTCCTCACTACCAGCTATGTAATATATTGCACTTTTACCGAAGACACCAATAAACCCAGCAAATGCTGGATTAATTTTGAAATAGCATACAAGACTCAACTCCTACTTGTTGCATATATATCCTGCAAATAAGTATCTAAGATACACTGAACTTGAACTTATATAAAAAAATTGATAGAACTTTAAAACAAGGACTTTAAAATTTTTTTTTTGTCCAAAAAACCCCACCAACAGTCCCTACTGCAGTCAGATGGAGAAGGAAGCAATTTCAGAGTTAGAGAATGAGAGCTGGTAATAGGTTGAATTTTTACAGAGGCTGAAGAACTTGCTAACCAGAGATTAGCATACTCAGCAGCATACAGGAAAAGGCAAAGTGTACAAAAACAGCCAACCCGTGCAGAAGAAACTTCCTATAGGAACCACAATGCTGTGCTTTATTGAAATTCAGTGAAACCTGGGGAAGTTTGAGAAATGCTGCTTATTTTTGTGTGTTCTGTGACAATGGATAATTTGGTATTACATTCACATTTTATTAGTAAAATGTTTATATTGTATGTATTTTAAACTTCTGTAATGTAATTCTAGATTGTAGGGGGAAAAAAAAAAAAGATTTGCAGTAATGGTGAACGTATTTCCACTCAAGCTATCAGAATTTTACAGAAGCTGTGAAATGAAAATACCAAACTAAAACATGACATCATGGAATAGTGAAAAAGTATATGACCCCCACCCAAAGCGGTTGTCAAAGACAACGAACCAACCACCCATCGCAAGCACTGCCCTTCTCATTTAGGAGACTGAAATTATTAGTAGTAAAGAACTAAAAAGATACATGTACTTAATCATTACATTTATGGACTGACTTGTGATATCTATGAAGCTACATGATTAAATCATACAGCTGCCAACATCATGCACGCAGAATAAACACAGTAAGATGGAAGCGGAATGACAAAAGCATAACCAGCCGTTCATGTGCACAAACCACCCTCATTCTACGTGCTCCTGCAGTGACTGTGAAGACAGCAACCTCCTCAAATTTTGACTCTGGTAAAAAAAGTCAAGCGTAAGTTTGCAGAAGTGCATTAGAGAATGAATATGCATTTATATGCATATGAATATGAATTTAATATGCACTACGCTCAAGACACAAATGAAAGGAACCACAGAATTACATTTTCACTACTCTGACAGCATACTTAACCACTTTGTGGTGTGGGCCAAATAGTGTACATTGCTGAGCACAGAAAGAAAGGGCGGAGAAAGGAATCATACCTGATAAAATTTACTGGAACTTCATGGATGTCTCATGATGAAACTATGGAGAAGTAACTCATTACATGAATTGATCAGACAACAAGTGTAAGTGGCAATGAATGTTCTCACATTAGAACTGAGAAACATGATTACCAGTTGAAACACTAATAGGAGGATGGAAGATAAAGCACTTCACACTCTCTGCTTGGTTGCTTCTTTTACTTTGTTCTGCCAGGTTTAGCACACACAAGCCATCTGTTTTTTTCCTGTTTGTTTTACTTAATTAGTAATTCCTACACTAACACAAATCTTGCTGATTTTTAGAATAATTGTGGCTGATACAACATAGTGGAATTAGTTTTCAGAGGAGGAGGCAAGATGCAATAATAGCTCCTGTTTGCAGGACTTGAAAGTCATAGGAAGGGGAATGGCTAAGCCTTTTGTAATCTGAATATTCACATGATTATTCATGATCAAAAAAGCCACTTCTTACTATCACTCCTTTCTGTTCAGTATGTGTACACCAAGTAGATGACTGAAAATCTGAGAGACATGGCAGAAGTCTCAGTCCCACCTGAGAAATAACTTGTCCCACTAAACCTTGTTACTACTACTGACATGCTGGAACACAGCAGCTCAATAAACCTGCTGTAACAACTGGCTGTGAAAGATTTCACTTTATCACTACCTTTTATCAACAGAAATTACCGTTCTAGTATTCATCATGATAACTTAAGTCTACCTTTTTTCAAGCTATATGAAGATTGACAAGGTGTATCTGTGAATGCGGGGAAAGTCTTTCTTTCCTTTTTAAAAAAATAACCGTACCTAATTTCACTGACCTGAAGAGGCCCCATAAAGGGCCAAGAAGTGTCTAAACTGTCAAGATATTACATTAGAGTTGCAGATCATAAAACCTAATTCATGGTTTTGTAAAAAGATAACATCTGCATTTTGGCTCACAAACATTGAAAACACTTTGCTGAATTTCTTTTCTGACAAAATGCTTAGAAGGTCCTACTTCTGGTATGCCATATTTGTTCATAATTGTGAACTGAAGCAATGCAGACCAAAACTTGCAACTTTTGCCTTTCAAATAACACATTACATTTACAGCTTTGTTTTGGTCTAAATCTCACTTCTGATGAAGTTATCATTCAGCTCAGCACAAATCACATTTTTTTCCTTTTGACAGGAATATTTGTTAACGTTACTGAAAGTGCATAAGACAAAAAAGCTCTATAATATGCATTACCAAGAATTAACAACTACCAAGAATGAAAGCTAAATATTAAGTCACTGATCTGCAGATTAAAATGGGAAAGTCTACTTCTTTGCTACTGGTACGAATACTGATTCTAATGTGCTGACAAGTTGAAGAAATTTATATGAATGTTTTTGTCTTTATTTACATATATTGTTACTGATTTTATGAAAGAGCAGTTGAAACCAAAATACTTCCATAACTTTACCTACATGCTCATGGGATAATAAATCAGACTTTCCTGATTTAATACCTCTGGGTTGCGATGTCACTAAGAAGAGTAAAACTGCATTAGAACCGGTACATTTGACACGTTGGAGGCCACACTTAAACACAAAGAGAAATAAAACAAAACAAAAGCTTTATTTTTTAAACCCAGAAAGTGTGAAAGGGTGGGTGCAATATTAAGTGGACAAGCATTGTAGGTGGTGTCACTAGTGGCTTCATATGACATTAACAATCTATTCCAGTGAATGGCACCATCGAAGTACTGCATGCCATTCTCAAAAACGCAGGACAGGCACCCCTACTTACCACATATCTACTGCCACTTGTTTATTCAGTCTGTATCAGCCAAAAATTAGGCGTGTTTTTCATTCTATAGCTATTACAGGGGAAAGTAGGCAATTTGGGAATTTTTAGTTAACCGTGTAAAATAAAGGCTTCTTTTGTACTTTTTTAAGTTACAAAGATTATACCTTTCCTGTCATATACTTCCTGAGGGGCACAGCAAATATGTTTTCTGAATCTTCAGGCTTTCAGATGCTTATCTGCCACCATCCCTTTCTCACAAACAAAAATTTTGTTTTGTCTCAAAAGATTGTCACTTACAAAGATATCTGACATCCTGCAATAAAAAAAGGCTCTACAGGAAAAGTTAGTGGCAAAGCTTGACACAAGTTGCTTGTCTGACAGTCACACGTTTCATAGCCTCCTGGTGCAGTAAGAGCCTTGCTATTTAGTTTCTTATTTAAGGTTCAGAACCGTAAGCTTAAAACATCCCTTTTGCCTATGATCCAATGCATTCCTTCTGCATATGATCAGGAGCATCTTATGGCCGTTAACAGAAAGTGATTTCAAGATGGCACCCATCGTACTGAAATTCTCATCTGGCAGATAATGGCTTTGGGACGCCAGTTGACACACAATTCCAGAATCATCTACATACCAGATCATTATAAAGAGATGCTCATGTTCCTGAATTTTGTATTTGCAATTCTTTGGTCAAGACACCAACTCCTGATGCTTATTATGACACATTTGGATATGGATATCAACTACATTTTTCTACATTTGGGTGAAGTTTCCCAGTAGCATTCTGGGGAAAGCAATTTTGACCCAAGAATTGAATGGTGAAAGCCACAGAAGTAAGACACCCTGCACATCCGCACAACACAGTAATTACTTAGCTATTTTCTTGTTTTCATTTTACATGGTTTGACAGGATATTATTCTAAACCTGTGGAGCTCAGGAAATAGCATGTAGTCTATTCCATTCCATAAATAACTAAAACAAACCGAGAGGAACGATGACGATTTTAAATCCTTAAAAAACATCCATGCAGCAGAATTTCAAGTTAATTCTCAGGAACTAAACATGGACATAAGTATCACAGAAAAGCCTAATACTTATGGGTATCACATTCCCGTAAGATACTTGTTTTTTTTTTTTTTTTAAAAAAAAGAAATAATTCACTGCATTCCTTGTACTGGTTTGTGCAGAGGTAGTTGGGCAATGTACAACTCATCAACCCAAAGCAGCATTAAACACCATCTGTAGTTCTTTAAAAACTTCAACAGCCAACTGTCATACTTGCTATCATACAACTTTGTATTCCTAACACACATCCCTCCAACACGCGGCAAAGTTCTATCATCTACCACCTAATTCCGCAACACAATGGATTTTCACAGTACATAGCATATACATTTGCAAATTACTGACAGCTAATAAAAAAGAATATCATCAGAGTACTTAAAATCTATCATAAATTTACAATTGCAAGCCGTTCATTTAACATTTAAGCAAATTAGTTTTTCCTCTCAAGAGAAGTTAATGCTTATTTAAATTCATAAGGATGGGTAGCTTATAAATCAGATTGGTAAGATCTGGTCTTGTGCTTAATGCTCCATGCAACTCTGCAACAAATACAACTTATAAAAATAAAAAAATTCCTAAAAAATTACACACTAATTTTAATGGAAGCATTAAAAGAAGAGAGGTAATAAATACATAAAAATATTTATTCATAGGAAACAAAAAGGTATTTTTCCAGAAAGCTTACTTGTAGAAATCCAAAATAAAAAACTCAGAGTAAAGGCTCAGTATGTGTAACATGGCACTGCAAGGATCTTTGCAAATTTTTCTCTTTTATTTCCATTTCTGAATGATCTCTTGACAACAATGAAAACAGTTCCTGGCCTTTTCTTTCCCAACAGGCTATATCCAGAAAAACCTTACTTGTATTCTAATTCAGTGAATAATTTATGATGCATCAGGATACAATGAATTTTGGGGCTGCTTAAGAAACACTCCATATCTACAAGCCCACAGCACTGAAATTTTGATCTTCTCCAAAGAGAAATTTTAATTCTACTATGAAATCATTTTAACATAATAAATTATATAATTACAAAAACTAAATCAATGATTACAACTTAGAGACCCAGCCCATAACACTGAATTCTCAAATTACATTTATGATGAACCACTGATTGGAGTTGTAAGATAAAAGTCTTCAAAATTCCTACAAATAGCAAAAATGAACTGTTACTTTTGCTGTCCTCCAAATCAAGTACTAAAATATAGATAAGATATAAAGAATTTAAACTGGAATTCTTTCCCAGTGTGACATCTTTGCATTATCATCTGCTCCCCAAGTGGGTGGTGGGGGAGATACAGACAAAATACCCTTTTGTTTCAACATTCTTGAAACACATATTCAAAAAGACCTCAGTATTAATTATACTGTCATATGTAGGTAACAACACAAGGAAAAATACATCATGCACTTCTCGTGTTTTCAGATTAAAAAGACCTTGTATAACACTTGTACCTTCTTTTGAGGGCCATGTATTTGAAATTAACTTTCTATTCCCAATGAAACTCCAGAATTCACTACATTAGTTATAAAGATACTTTTCCTTATTAATATGAGAAGCAATTACATGATCAATGCTGCCATTCTTAAATGAAAAACAGAAGACACCAAGCACTGCCATTTCCCTATTTCCAACTTCTGAAACACTTACATCTACATTATAGAACACCCTTACTCATACGTACGTTCCATGCTTAACACACAATGGTTTTCTTCACATCACTGCAGAAGTGTTTCAGTACAAGAGATGAGTGTGTTGTTAGTCATTTTTACAATACATACTACAGAGTACTTCATATTGTAAAAAAAGGAAAATAAATAATTAAAAAGAATGAAGTCCATATTCTGAAAGCACTAGGTAAAAATGCAGCTATGTTCTATAGCAAAAAAACCCAGCAAACTTTTGATTAATTAAATGTTACATATTACCTAATTACCATATTTATATTTCTTTCCCAAGGCAAAGATAAGGAGGTATTGGGGATAATACTCAATTCCCAATTTAAGACAAAAGTTGCAATTCTTAAGTGCTATGACAGGAGCCACTTAAATGCACCAAAGTAGTATTAAATCACATTATTTAAATAATTCTTTTTAATTACATGTTTTTATGACTGAAAACCTGTAGTTCATAAAGCTACCCTTCAGCTTTAAAGTAATTAATGTGTTTTGCATTTTTGATCATCTAGAAATGACAAATTTAACTAAATTACCTCTGGTATTCCCAGTTTTCTACATGCATCCAGAAAGTTTTCCACATTTCTCCTGCATTTGGCCATGCTAAGCTTAGGCTGTAAAAACAAGAAAAAAGAGTTTATGGCAAAAGAAAGCAGTAACATTCATTCAGTCAATAAATTAATCTATTGCATTATTCTTGTACTGATGCACCATTTCCATATTTCTCCTGAAAACAATGTATACAATTCTGCTCAACTTTTTTTTAAACCACTCTAAAAACAACATGCCTATAAATACAATCTGAGTTGTGCAAGCCATGTGTTTTTACTTCGTTATTAAAGTCACCAGCACATTTAGATCTCTACTTGTTCACATCCAGCTTATGAGGTTCTAAAACCTGCCTCTTACAATGACTCGTGATAGATGACATTGATTTTCCGGACAGCAAATAAATGAATTAAGGATTTCAACATCATCATGGGGAATAGACTTACCTGTAATTAACAGGCTCTTACTTTTTAAATATTTTATGTACTCACAAATGTACAGTAACTATACACAATTTTAATGTCTCTGAAGAAGAAATTTCCTATTTCTGTAGAATTTCAAATACTTCTGTAATTTGTCTCACTCAGGACTATTTACCAAATAGTTAAAGAAATATCATGTTAGGAACAAAACCAGACCCAACAACTCACTATTTTACTTTTTCAACGCAAGATGTACAACAATGGTAATTTGTGAATATCCACATAAATCAAGAATTCACTATAGTAGCAGGGACTTTAAATAACTTATTTTCTAGGCTAAAGTAATTTGATGGCTGTTTCAAGCATGAGATAATCATCAATATAAAGTTGAAACAAATGAAAATGGTTTTAAATTATTTGCTTTTTGTTATAGAAAACACCACAATATTTGTATCTTTAAAACAAAGAAACAAACAAAACCCAGCAAGAAAACTTAAGTTTTTGCCCCAGAAGTTCAAGTTTGCATATTTTGGCAATATTATATTTTTACTAAAGAGAGAAGTAATTTAAAACCAAGCAACAGTAAAAGAAATTCCACTAGAGCACCTCAGAGAATGTCTTTTTCCTAACATCTGTCTTCTTGGAAGTTCTTATAAATTGGCTCTGAAATCCACATGCTACTTTCAGAAGTGAGTATCAGGCTGTACACGGCAAATATTTACCAGTATGTACATTAAAAAAAAAAGGGGGGGGGGGGGGGGGGGGGGGGGACATACCAATCTTAAAGAGTTGCCTTAATGGGCAGCAGATAGTCTAAAACCATACAAAACCTCTTCAGAACCAGACTGGTATCAGAAGTCTGGAACAAAGGTCTGACCAAGAAAAAGACATCAATAAACAGAGAAAATACTAAGAAAATTAAGTTTTAAGAAATGTGCACACACACAGATCACATAGATTTTACGTCCTGAAATCTTCAGGTCCTTAGGTTTAGCAAGCCAATATTAAACCACTACAGCACATGTTTCTATTCCATTCTGTCTGCAGGTAAAAGGAATAGTTTCTACATTTAAGCCAACAGGAAGAATATGCTAATAAATGCTGTAAGTATGTTAGTTACATGATATCTGCTAAGCCAGACATTTCTAAAGTTAACTTCATATTTCTTCAATCAACAAATAAGGGGCTAATTTTCTTTTAAAAAGGGTCTCCTATAATAAAATCTTGTAATTATAGAATTTTGTAGTCTACTGAACAAAAAAGCATTATGAAAAAAATCTGAACTGTTGCTAGATCAGAGAGAGGCATGATAATTTTATTCACTTATAGATGTGTATATATACACACACAATATATATAAAAATTAATGAACATCTGAATTTGTAATAATGTAGAAGTTGCCTCTAACAGCAAAGAGCATTCATTGAACATCAACCTGTTTTATGTAACCAAACATTAAGTGGCAATAAAACAGTAATTTTTTAAATATTCCCCCCCCCAGCCCAATATGACAAGAAACATTCAACTTACTACTGCTGGTGAAGGTACATGAATACTTCCTACAGACCGAGGACGAACGTGATTTACTAAATGGCAGAGAACTACACCATCCATCAGAGCAGACCCCAAGTCCTCAGGCAAACAAATCTTTAGTCTTGTTTCAATGTTCTACAAACGAAGAACACATACACACTTTAATACAGAAATGGATGAAGGGGAAAAAAAGGGAATATATGTCCTCATCTTCTCCCATGCTGTAGATACATAGCCAGCTGTGGAGTTTTGGTTTACCAGTTAACACCCTACCTTTATATAACTAATCCTTCAAAAACTAAAAATTTACCCTATGTTGATCATGGAATTATGTAAACTTCTTTTAAAGAACTCAACACTTCACATGCTGCTGTCATAATATGCATTTATGTTTATATATACATATAAAAACACATATGCATGCAATTAGCCATATGATTGCACTACATGTGGCTCCCTCCTTTCACCATTCCCTCAACGGTTCTACTTATGCATCTCAAATTTTCTTTATCATCAGCACTTTGAATCAGAACTACATTGTATTCATCATTGTACAAGCAGAGAGTAAAAGGCAATACAATCTTTCCCTAACTAACTCTTAGATTAACTCTCAGATATAATTACTTCTATTACCTTAAAATAGATATTTCTTGTTCCTTGTTGAACCTCCTTAATGTCCTTATTCTCTATTATTGCATTACCTCAATCTATGTTGGGTGTTTTAGATGAAAATAGATTATTCTCTTTAGAATCAAAGGAGAGTAGGTTGGAAGGGATTTCTGAAGGTCATCTGGTCTAATAAATTTGAAATGAGATCCGAGCCTTGGTTAGTTATATTTTGGATATGTGCAAGGAAGGAGATTCCACAACATCTCCAGGCAACCTTGTTCAGTGTTTCACCACCCTTACTGCAAAGGATCTTCTCCTTATAGCTACTCGAAATTTCTTTCTCTGCAATTCGTGCCACTGCCCTTCACTCTTCAACTATGCATTTTTGAAAAGCCTGCCTTATGTTCTCTATTATTACCCTTCAGGCAGCTGAGGACAATCATATGATATTCTCAGAACTCTCTTCTCCAAGCAAAAGAAATCCAGCTCTTCACTTCTTCCTCATACATCCTTTTTTTGGGTGTCCTCACCATGAATTAACCTCCACTGAACTCACTCTGGGGTTTCCTTATATTTTGCCCATTTTTCTTTTACTACACACACTACTGAAGTACTCACATGTACAGTCTCACAAGTGCTAAATGAGGGAGTCCATCACGTCTACTAATATGTTTTGCTTTCACCTTGGATTAATTCATACATTAGAAAACATTTTTGGTATAGGAGATACGTACAAAAAAGTTATACATGAAAG